ACACACACACACACACACACACACACACACACACACACACACACACATATATATATATATATATATATATATATATATATATATATATGAACAGAGAAAATTGCACAAACTCACAGGTGTCTGTACGGGGAGAAATATTCAATGGGATATTTGATTAAACCTTCATTAATTCACTGTAAAATTCGTTTCTCCAATTATTCTCTATCCATCTTCCGAGGAGTCAGTGTATGAAGTATTTATCTTGAAGAAAATCAGACTACTGATGCGGAAAATCAGGATTTTTTAAGCTCAGCTACTTATTCGTGTACGTAGTCCGCAAACGAACCTTTTTTTTAAGGTAACATACCAACATCAAAGTCATGTCAATCTCCAATTTTTCTACTTGTCCGAACATAATGCATTGCACATCCGAGAGGCTATTGAGCCCATTTAAGTGGGTAATAAAAACTATCGGGGGAGTTCAAATCAAGAAAATAACGCCGGGAGGGGGGACAAACGATAGAACGTACCAGTTGAATTGTACAACACCAAAAACTAGAGGTTACACAAACAGGAGGAATAAGCAGATTAGGTTGTGCGGAAAATGTATACGTTGCAGTGCGCAACGAAGGCTCTTATTAACGCTCTCACACACAAGAGAGAGAGTGAATGAACAAAGACTGTCCTGGATTGACTGAGTCGAGTATTTCAACAATTCATCTTGTTGAACGCTGTGCAATCGATCCTTGTGATCGAAACAGCTGATGCCATTCAACCATGCACGATAATTGATTGGTTCAGAGGTAGGACATGACCGCTGCTCATTGGATGGTTAGTCATTGGTTGAAAACCCGACCGGACGTGCTCGAAACAACACTAATGAATGATGTCATTCGTTTGGTAAGAACTACAAGAGCTGTTCCGGAGATGCGGTGTTAACCACAGTCTTTGCACACAAACACAAAAACTGTCCAAGACGATAGATTGGTTAACACTCACCCACATCCCGAGCTTTCTCGATTTCCACAAGCAACTTTTTGTGCTGATGTTGACAAAGTCCTGTAAAGACGAAATCGCGGCACGGATATCAGTTAAAAAATTAGACAACAGAATACGAATAAGCGAATCGAAACCGGGATTGGATGAAACTATTACAATGGAAAAATGTTCAATTGTAAATGATTCATATATATGTATATAAGTATAAAGCCTACAGGAACCTGGGTTCGATGAAGAACTGCGACGATGATCATAACATTTAACAGATGTCTGGCCCCATAGTGTCTAAATGAAGGAACTGACGGAGGAAGGACGATGAGTGCTCTGTTCCTATGTTCCGATATGTTTGTACGTGTTCTGTTTGAAACGGAGTGCCATTGCGGATAGTCTGTATGCACCTATGATAAGCTTTCTCCCGGTTTGTCATTGAATAACCGAGAACACAAAGATGACTTGCGAGAAACGAAAGCTCCACCGACGGGCCCTGGACCGTAAAGTCAGAAGTTTGAACCTTGCCACCTTATCACTCAACTTCAGTGATAGACAGGTTCGCTGTTGTCCAATTCAATATCACATCTAACCTACCGGGATTTCAGATGGTTTCCAGGGTTCTAACGAGTGAACAGTACGTCCTCGTGATTATGGGGTTTCACCCCGTCTGCTGTTCATCACACAAGAGTTCTGATGAAAAACAGCCACACAGGCAAGCATGGTGCCAACGCGACAACAAAAATAACAATACTGCAAACCTTACGACCCAAACACTGTGAGTCATTGACAGTTTAGTTTGTGTCCGAATCCCGTTACCAACATGAAATTTGATCACACCTCTCGCTCGTCATGTTGAACAACAAACCCCCTGTGGCCGGCCTATTCGAAAAAAAAATCGTGTTCGCTCTTTCGAACCGAAATGACAGCGAGACTTTGTGCGAACAAGTCGATTCCCGTTAGGCATGCATCATCTGTACTTCGTTCCGTCAAAGATACTCCTAGCTGCGCATTGTATTGGACCGTGGTCTATTCCCGACAGTGTTATTCTACCGACATGAAAATAAAATATTAATGAAGAAAACCGAATACCAAAGATCACATACCGGTAGTGGATGGTTCAAATATATCCGAAGAAATCGGATTGATGAATTGTGACAGCAATTGCGTGTTCTGTAAACAAACAAAAAGACAGCTCGGATAGATGCTTCGCATGCTGTGTCCGGATAAATTCGAGTTTAAATGAAGCACCAACCGAGTGAATTGCCGGTGAGACAAACTGGCTCCGACGAGCACGGACTGGAATTTTGAAAAAGGGGACGCCCGCTTGATAGCTATCATCATCTGTTCGACTGGTTGGTAAGGCCAGCAATGCGTATGAATAGCATGTTAGGGATACGAAATCCGATTGAATGGACACTAGCGTTTGCTCTCCCGTATTCCAATGGTGAAACCCCCAAGAAACTTTGCCATTTTGGAACGGGTCATTTGCCCATAAAAATGATGCATTGACTTCTGCATTCGAAACATTCTTTGTATAGTAAACAGAATGGACCCAGACATGCGCAAGAAATACCTTCCTACTAAATTCACAGTTTGTGTCCATCGTAACGGTATCTAATCCGAATCATGCTGGAGGGCTCGTCACCTGCCGAAAATGCACCGTCTAAACAACCAATAACTCATTTACTGAATAGTAATTTTCTTTCACTGTCCGACTGACTGCCAAAAGCCTAGGGACTTCTACCAGGATACGCCAGATGAAGGATAACTGTCCAGTTCCCTCTTCCACGTGTATTTTCCAGTAAGAATAGTCAAATTCAAACTTTTATCATGGGAAAAAAACTTACAAAGACTTCGCCTATCAAATCCGATAGGGTGTTTACACTTTGGTTCCGAAAACGATTTACAAGATCACAGTTAGTCGATGAAAGTAAAATAAGAAATGTTATGTTTTTGACGAGCACAGGAGAATATATTATGTAGTTAGGTGTTGAAACATAATGTTTGCCAGAGCATCATCAAGCTGACGCTTGAAAGATACTAATGTTGGGGCACAGACCACGTGAGGTGGTAGAGAGTTCTATGTGCTGCACACTCTGACGGCAAAGGAATGGCGTCTGCAGTCGAGACGGCTCTTTTGAAGCGCCAACTTCAGTGGATACCCTCTGAAATGAACATTGGTTGATAGAACCAAAAAAGATCTACATGGGTGGTTGGGCTGTTGGAAAATCCGATACAGCAAGATCATATCGCCTCTGATTAGATTATATTGAGACGAGTATAGCCCCGATAGCTGTAATCTTTCACCATAAGTCTTACAATGTAGACCTTTGACCATCTTGGCAGCCATTCTCTGCAGATGTTCGAGCGCCTCCCGATCTCTTTGCTTATAAACCAGAGGCACGCTAGACGAAGTTTCCTCTCTTTCACATAAAATTACCAAATCCTTGAATGACTGCGAAATCTGTCCGTTGTGTTTCTGGACTACTCATCTGCTTTTGATTCTATTCCTCGTTCCCTTCTTCTTCATAAACTGGACACCTTTGGTTGTCCTAGACAGTCATTAGCTTGGCTTGCTGATTACTTCTCCGGGAGAACTCAGTGTACCAGATTAGGTCGGAAGAAATCCAAACCATTGTTGAACAGCTCTGGAGTACTCCAAGGTACAGTTCTTTCTCCATACTTATTTTCTACGTATATTAGTGACTTGTCTACTTCTCTCTTCAAATATGCGGACGATGTGGTCTTGTGTCAGGCTATCTCCGACTCTTCTGGTCTTTCACAATTTTCTGACAACTTGGATAACATCCAACGGTTTTCCTCCACATCTATCCTATCTCTTAATCCCTCCAAATGTTTCGAATGTTTCTTTACATTGTCACGCTCTTCTGTCCCAAGTGAACCCGTATCGATTGGCTCCGAACCAGTATCCCGGGTAAACTGTATTAAATATCTGGGCGTTTTTACTGATACTAATCTTCGCTGGACCTCTCACATTCAACACATCGTCAGTAAGCTTCGACGACTTTCTTTTCATATCCGTAAACTACATCAGTTTCGTATTCCGCAATCAATTATTTCCAAATTCGTGCACCACTGTTTTCTCTGTTTTACTTTATTGTTCCCCTGTTATTTTTCTCAACCTCCGAGAGAAAGATTTTAATTTGCTTCGACGTGCATTGACCATCATTAGCCGTGTCTCTTCAATCCCACTGAAGGAGTTGATAACTAACTAACTACCTACGCGAACGTCATTTGAATGCATGTGAAAAGCTTGCACACAAGATTCGCATCGACTCCACACATTCGCTACAAGCTGATCTAACTTCCTGTTGTTCCCATCCTTCAACTAGATCACAATATGATTATGTTCCCTCTCGAATAAACATTTATCGTAACTACACAGTACCCTCATTAGCACGTATTCTTGCTAACAAAGAACACGTTTTCACAGAATTTGTTAACAGTTTTACGATTTAAATCTCTTTTTTCATTGTTATTTTTATGTTCTCCCTTGTTCCAAACCGTATATTTTTAACTGAAATGTAGGCTTCATACTGGCAAAAGTTATTACAATACAATACAATACAACCTCGGTGCAGCCATTTGTTCCAGGCCTGAATTGAGTACTCGGTGTATGGACGGATATATGTGGCTAACAGGCGTGAAAACAAAACCGGCTCAAACGATCCAAAAACACGTTTAAGCAGTCCAACCTTGGATGATGCCCTGGAACAGTTTGTGGAGCAATTCAAGTCTGTGCGAATGACTACTCCCGGATCCTTCTCGGATGAAGCATGAGGCAGAGTTTCGTGTCCGAGAGTGTGGGAATAACGACTATTGTGACGTATTGATAAAACGTTACATTTGGTAACGTTGAATTCTATATCATTGGAGACAGGCTATCTGTGGGCTTCATCAAGAGCGCTCTGGAGATCAAATGAATCTTCTGGTTTTGTTATTGTCCTCCATATTTTAGCATCGTCTGCAAACAGCAGATGTTGTGGTCCGAGAACGTCTGGAAGATCATTTATAAAGGAAAGGAAAAGACGTGGGCCTAGTACAGATCCCAGTGGAACCCCACGGTTGACATCTATTGGATCAGAAAGTGAATCGGAAACACGAACTGACATGGTACGCAGGCGAAGAAACTCCTCGGTCCAGGTAAGTACGAGTCCACGGATTACAGAACTATACACCTTCCGTATCAGTATTTGATGATTTATTCTATCAAATGCTTTAGAGAAGTCCAGGTAAATAACATCCACCCCTTTGCTTTGGTCTATAGCATGAGTCCAATCGTCCCGAGCCAAAATCAAGTTGGTTACACATGAACGATTTTTTCGAGACCCGTGCTGGGCTGGGGATAGTAAGTCATTTTTCTCCAGATGATCCATTACCGGATCTGCAACAACAGATTCCATGACTTTGGACAACACTGGAAGGAGAGTGACAGGTCGGTAGTTGGCTGGGTCACTACGGCATCCACCTTTGTAAATTGGTGAAATGACACCATTTTCCACACTAGAGGAAGCACGGTATCTTCAAACAGTTTTTGGTATAGCCCACTTAAAGGATCGGCTCTGTGACTGGTCATTGGCAATTTTATCAGTAGTGATAATAACATTTTTCATTATTGTTACTAGTATTACGAAAATAACAAATGCAGGGAGTAAGATGCATGAGACTACGGTGTGTGATTTGGTTAGAAACTGTGGATGAACTGAAAACAGTTTCCATTACTCTCAAAATCAGATGAACACGATATTCTACCGTAACACGTATTGATCTTGGCCGGTAGAGGGTAGGTGTTTTAATTTTCAGTCCTTTGGATTTGAGGTTCGAATCATGCCATCGACACCCGACTTCGGTGATAGACAGACTAGCTTTGCTGTTCCCCGGCTCAATATCACAACTAACCCACCGGGGCCTTGTGTGCTTCGTCATTCCCAGTTCGGAGAGTTGAGGTTGCCGTTTTCGACCAGTGAACAGCAGATCCTTATGATTACGGGGTTCGCCCCGTTACCGGCTGTGATTGTGATAGTTCTGCGGTTATACGAATCAATACT